CCCTGGACTGACCTAGGCCAGTGAGGTCCCAGGAGGTTGGGGTCACTCTGGGCAGCACGGCACAGCCAGGCAGGAGGCGAGAGCGCAGCTGACAGGACAGGTGCTCACACCTGAGGAGGGTCCGGGCACAGGACACGGAGCCTCCACAGGACAGGCCCCGGGTGCCCATCTCTGACTCTCCCGCGGCCGCCAGTGCAGGGCATGGCCGGGCCCAGTGCAGGGACCTGTGGGGCTGAGCCAGGAGGGAGACTCTGCCCTGAGAGGAAGGGCAGGGCGGGACCAACGTGAGCTGAGCTCCCCTTAGGAGCCACCCTGTAAGGGAAGGACCTGGACTCGGAGCTTTTGTCCGCCCATTACACAGAGGAGAACAGAGAGGCTCCCAGCAGGGCTGGGCCAGGAAGGTCTGGGAGCAGAGGATGCAGGGTGTGCCCGCCTCAGGAAGGGGCACCGCTTGTCCTCTCCACCCCCAGCCGCAAGGAGCCGGGGGACTTTGTGTTCCAGGCTCAAGTGTGACCTGAGGCCCAGCTGGTAGAGTTTGTCCCTGAGGGGATGCCTCTCTGTCCAACTGACAGTCCATCCGGTTCCTCTCAGACCACCCTGTGCCGGCCCCACGCTCCCTCCCAGGGGAAGTGCCCAGCTCAGGGAGGGCGCCCCAGCCCCTCTGAGTCTGACCCTGGCTGCCCGCACTGAGAACCAGGCTGCTCCCTTTCAGGCCAGCTCGTCACATCCTTCACGTGGCACCTGTAATACAGGGTCCCCCTCTTTCTGGACTGGGCGCCCCTCCACATGCACAAACAGGTGTCCTCTGCGCCGAGCCCTCCCACCTGCTCTGTCCTTGGACCTTGGTGGCCCTGGGAGCAGCCATGCTGCCCTGCTGCAGGCTCAGGGCTTTGCAGGCGTGGAACAGGCACATCCGGGTGTGTTGTGGCTTCTGCTAGTGTTGCTACTTCATTGGTCACAATCTCCACCCAAACACACCGTCCATACCCAGGAGTTTCCAGAGACCAGGCCTGGGGTCCCTGAGAATCTCCCTGGTGCTGCCCCCAGATCTTGCGTCCCAGGGAGGGAGAGTGGTGTCAGATCCAGGCCAGCTCCCCTGCTGCACCCCAGTGTCTCCTCCTGTCATGCAACCCACAAAGCCCTTCTGAGTCCACACCCCACCCCAGGCGCTAGAGGGCGGTCTCCTGAAACAAACTCTGTGTGAGGGCAGCGAGTGCAAAGTCCTAATGCACAAGGCCCAGTGCCCTGGGGGTCCTGGAAAAGTGTCCCCCAATGTCTACCCCGTCCCTCCCAGGTGCCCCTGCAGCTGGAGGGTAGCACCCTTTGCTCAGCGCTGCATCCCATGCCCGCCTGAGCGCATAAGGCTCTTCTGGGGCGTTTATAGGACCCAGGAGGGGCCATCATCGCAGGGACAGCGCTGTGCTCCCCTGTCCCTGAGGCAGGTCTCACCTCCAGCTAGCTCCTCAGCCAGCAGCTCTGAGGTCTCTTCTGGAATGTTCCCCAGGACCTCCTCCCTCCACACATCCTCTCGCCCGAGCCAGGCATCCTGAGCTGCTCTCTGCTGATGCCTGGCTGCCCCTCTGTAATGTGGAACAGCCTGGCCCTGCTGGTCTCCACACCCGGGAGTCCGCTCTGCAGTGAGTGGCGAGTACAGAGGCGGCTGGGAGAGCCTTGTGAGGACCAGGGGCCGCCATGTGTAAGAGATTGGGACCTCCTCCCAGAGGTTTCATGTCTTGTGTTGATTGTCTGAGTCAAGTCTCCAAGGGGCAGGAGGAGAGGATGCCTGGGCGGCCCTCACCTCTGTCTCTGGGTCCCTGCCCTCCCCGGGTCCCCATCCAGGCATCCTCTCCCTGGTTCCCCCGAGCCTGGCCCCCTGGGTGAGGAGAGGCGGGGGCACCTGCTCTTCCTCCGGGTCTC